ATACATACATACATACATACAGGATTACGTGCACAGGGGGAAGCTGCAAAACGGTGCCAGCGAGGCTGGTCCCGCTTCTTCTCCCAAGCGCCTCTGCGCCACACGACGGGCACAGCAGCCGCAGAGACAGGGCTGGCTGCTGGGTTCCGCGCTCGCTGTGCCGTCTGCCGTCTCGGCATCGGACGGCTTTGGCTTCGCTTTGCCTTGCAGGAATCACATGCGCTGCTGCCGGTCCGACTGAACAGAGCCGGACGGGCCTCTTCGTTTCTTCTTTGGCTTCGAATCTTCTTCGGCCGTGTCAGCAGCTTTGGCTGCAGCAGCCGCTTTCCGTGCCCGGCATGCGAGTTTTGCACTCCGAGCTTCAATGTCCCGCTGAACAAGCGATGACGAAACCTGTCTTATAATGAAGCCACGACCCGAATCAGTGGCCGCAGGCACAAGTTCACGCCTCCAGACCTGGAAGAAGCAGACTAGGGCAGACCAAATCACGATGATCCGGCCATGCCCATGGGACTTGCTCACCAATCGCGCTCCCTTGTCCATGAGCCCATCGGAATCACGTGCCTTGCACTACCTAGCTGCCCTCTGCACCCTCTGGATCCTGGACAGGCATGCAGGTGAAAACGCCAAAAAGAATCAGATGTTTCCAGATGTATTTACTCCAAAGCTCCTAGGCTAGAGCCAACCGGCGTCAACAGGCCAAGACTACAAGCCCAGGCTTCATGTGGGGTTTCTTCCGACTGAGCTTCCTACGCAAAACTGCACAATCGCCTTCCGAGCCTTTTGCGTATGTAGTATGCATGCAGTGCGAGTGGTCGGGCAAATCAACCTGCGCGTTTGCGCGGGGAGATTTTAAAACGGACAAAAGCAGACAGAGGGCTCTTAAGCCAGGCTTGCTTCGCACTTTGCCCTCGCCAGCGCCACGTCCACTTGCATGGGCTTGACGAAGCGAACAACGACTTGATCCTGGTCCGAGCAGTACTGCACCTTGTACTCTGCTCCATCTAGGCCGCAACCTTTGGCATCATTGATCGTCAAGTTGGAGCCCGACTGGTGGAAGACCGCACCCTTACATTCACCATGTTGAGGACCCACTGCCTCAGCGTTGCTGGAGCATTGGCAAAATCTCTGCTTCTACTTCTAGCTTCTAGCCTCATTCACCCTGTTTGTCAAGGCGGCACCCGATCCCCGAAAGATGTACTTGCTTATCGTTATTGTTATCCCTCAAACTCACGAGACATTCAAATCGCAGCATCCTACCGTTGCATAGCTTTGGCAAACAGAACACCTTCATGTTGACGGTTCCACCGTTCTCCGTGTGCTCCAGGACCCGAACACTCAGTGTCTCAACCAATAGCGTGCCTTGATAACACAGTTCGCTGTCCTTTGGTAGGGCCTTCTCGCCACTGCAAGCAACAGCAGTGCTGACCCCATTCTGCATCCACGACGGTGGCTGCACGGCCACGGGCGACGGCGGAACGGGCTCTGCGATGGCCTGGCTTTCCTCCAGGAGGACGCCCGAACAGCCGGATCGTCGCATGACCACGTTGCCCGCCAAGGGAGCGGTGATCTGCAGGTTGATGACATCCTGATCGGGGCAGTACCTGATCGTGTACGACATGCCACTCAAGCCGCACTTGGCAGCGTTCACGCTGATGTACTGCCCATGCTGGCTGTAGCCGGCATGATAGCACTGGCCGTGTTTTGGCCCAACAGCCTCAGTAATGCGGCATCCTACAATCCCACAACAACAGCTATACGAGACATGCACAGCAGCAATGGCAGAACCTTCCCATCCCAGCTGAGCTACCTTCATGTTCACATATCCGTGGTGGGCACCCTGCGTGACAACTCTGGCATACAGGGACTCGACCAGGAACGCACCGGAGTAGCACACTCCACCCCTGGGGAAGGTTCCATAGCCGCTGCAGCCCCGCTCAGACTCGGAGACTGCGTGCTCTTCCACCAAGGCCTGCGGTTCTGACACCATATCTTCATGAAACCTTGTGGCAGCTTTCGTTCATGAGTGCATCGATCTAACCCCCGAATCTTGGTTGATTCTTCCTACAAATGGCAAGCTCATGGCTGGCGTGCAAAGGTCATTCCAAACGCACGGCGATCTGCATGGTTAAGCATAAGCTCTCCAAATTACCTGCTTCGTTCATCCGCAAGCACTAATCTAATCCCTCAAAGCTTAAGAAAAAGAAGGACGGCAGCGGACGCAGGCCTTTTTTCGCTCCGGGTTTGGAAGGATCTGATCGGCCTATCCATAAATTTGAGCTCCGGATGTATACTGGGATGTCCGGCCAGTCCCAAGAACGGTCGAAACCGGACGTCGGGAAAGGAGATACAACAAAGCCGGACGCAACGGAGCACCCGTCCCGGGGAAGCACCCAGCCAAGTTCAAGAGTCCTGAGCCGGAAATTTTTTGCCTCGGGCGGATGATAAAGAAAACGAGGCAGGGAGGAAAGAAGTTTCCAGGGTATTTCAACCTCATCGCCACACTGAAGTCCAAATAACGAAGGGTCCCGGTCACGGCTGAGGCCATCCACTATGGTGTTGCGGAAGCCCGGGACGTGATCGAAATAAAAAGATGGAGAAATGTTGCTGCCAATGGAAGCAAACTGCAAAGAGCTGGCAAAGGCCCTTGGCAGTTGAAAGGCCTTTCCAAGAGGCAGCATCGGGCGGGCTCTTATCACACCGCGTCACAAAGGGACCGGGTGGTGGGCGCCCGGGATGAGAAGGGCAGCACACAATAATTCTGCGGAGAGGAGTGCCGCAGGATACCAAAGGAAAAGATCCCGGAGTGCAGAGAGAATGAAGGTGGCGCCTGGCGCGAAACCAGACCGTGTGTCGGGACGGAAGGGAGACGAAACCAATAAGGCCAGGGTGACGATAGTCGTCCACGAATGCGTCGCAATTCAGGAGCGGAGGAAGTGGAAGTGAGAGATTCAGCGGGCATACGCACAGAAATCCAAACGCGGCGCTCATCCGGAAAGTTTATTGGAACAGCCGCAAGAGAGTCCACCTCGCGGTTGCGGACCGAGACAAGCGAAGATCCCACCACCGGACAGCTGGCAAGACCAATGCCTTTGGTAACGCGAAGATCTGAGGAGAAGGAGGAGCGGAACTGTTTCCAGTTGCCAGGCTGACAGCAACGTGTACCAAGGGAGGTAACCCGTGGTCCCGAATCACGGTGGAACCAGGTCGGACGAAACGCCAGGAACAGAGCACAGACCGTCAGCTCGCGCAGAAGGTGTAGCGACTTTAGGTCCGACGACGATACATTGAGCAAAACTTCGCACAGGCGGATAAGTTTGGGTAATTCCATCATCGTGGACAATGAGTCCAGGCAGGGGGACCAACCGATCCAGACCTGGCGGACCCCCAGATACGCTGCACACTAGCTCACCGGGACACGATACACATGAGTGAGGCCCAGACCGGAGCGGTGGGGCCGGACAAAAGAGAAATCAGGTGATCGACGCAGATCAAGCTTCATGAAAAGCAAGCGGTGCAGAAGCCGGGATATCATTCCTGCCAGCCGGGCCCAAAAGTAAACCGGAAGCGCGGGCGCCGAAATTAAGCGCAAGGCACTGGAAGATTTTGTCTTGGCACGAAAAACAGAGTAGGCCTTGGTCGGAAGGACGTATTGTAATACGACTGTGAGCTTCGCTAACATCTACAAAGAGCGCCTCTAGGCCGTGGCGGCAAAGAAGGCACTGGCGGAGTCCAGTGACGGTAGGATTCGTGGACTTGTTGGGGAAGGTCCTGTGGTCGGTGACACCGGAAATGCTGCTGTTGACAACGAGTCTGGGGTACCCGCAGGAATCAGCACCCGAAGCCCAGTGACGGAGGACAGTCCCGGAAACAAATGAGCAACCGGGAGGGCTCGAAAACCATAAGGAAGGAAGCAGATTGCAGCTCCGGTGTCTCATTCCATGGGAGCTGAGTCCGGGCAGGGACGGACGGAGCCGTCGGGGCCGCTGCAGTGCAGAGGTACCTGAAAAGTGCAAATGCCCGAGGACGCGCATCCGGCTGACAGGACAAGTTTCAGGAAAGGTCAAGGGGGAGCTTGGGTCGGGCACGGCGCAGGCAGAAATGCAATGAGAACCTCTTTCTGTTAGCGGGCGGGCCAGCATACAGCCAGCACGGCCTGGGGCAAAAAGCAGTGCGGGGCAGGATGCGTCAAGTCCCGGACAGGAAGCTTGCGGATAAGGCGTCCGGAGGCTCCTGGAGGGGGACCCAGAACGGAAGGCCCCCCCTTCCGGATAAGGTCACGTTTTTTTTGCCTTTGCAGACGCAGCAAGTCCGTAGTCTCGCCTAGCGTGGCCTAGTGCACATGATCTGTCATCATGCGACCGATCACACTGTGGTGACGGCTGTACTTTGTACACACTGTTGTGCCCCCTCGCAGCGAGCTGGCAGCAGGATGGCATCCCGGCACAAGTGCCAGCAGATTCGCTAAAGGAACAAACGTACACATATGTTGTTCACACTACGGGGCAGAAGAATATACAAACATGGGCATCCCATGTGCTTGGGCATCCCAAGCGTGGCCTTGGCGAGGCAATTTCGCCTCACTGGGTCAGTCTTCAGGATTTGTTCCCTGGTGCGTGGATGTCTGGATGCTTGTTGATGATCATTCGTCGCGGTTCGAGGAAGCGATAGGTACCCAGGGCAGCGTGCCTGGCGTGCGCCAGTCCAGACTGTGCAGATCAATAGACCGTGGCTGGCCGCATGGATAGAAGTGGCGCAGCCATGACGGGCAATATAGTCTGCAACAGCATTATAGTTCCAGTTCCTGGGGCACATATTTGGAGCGGTGGGCCGCCTGGAGAACCGCACAGGGGTTCTCAACCCATTCCAAGTCGAAGGTGTTAAAAAAGTCCGGATCCGGTAGTTCAATTATAAGGCCACGTTTCCGGACTGCGGTCATCAGCGGGTGGCGAGTCGTCAACGGGGCGGCCGACCACGCCCACCCGTTGGGATGCGAGTGGATGCTGGTCGTGTGTCGGTCAGGGCCGGGGCTCGGGCCGGGATGGGGCGGTCGGCGCACCGCCAACCGGCAGATGTGCAAGGGCGGGACAAAGTAAGCAGGCCGGCCTCGACTTCCACGGAGCGGGGGCCGGTCCTCGACAGGTCGGGGATGCCGGGTCGGGCCTGGAGCGGTCGGAGCGGCAGCTACTCCCGCGACCCCGCCGACGGCGACGGCGGGACGGGGAGCGGGACGAGTCCGAACGCCTGGGCATCAAGCCATTGACAGCCTACAATCAAAGATCTAGCGCACCGTCAGTGCCGGATCGGATGCGCTTAGGTCGAACGGCTGCGGTAATGACTTGCTGTTGCGATGCTTGAATATGCTTGTAAACACATTACGAGGCGAAACAACGCTGTGACATGCTGTGACTCAACTTGTGCCAAGCACGAAGCCTGGCCGACTTTCAAATCCCGCTACCGAAATGAAGACCTGCCTGCGTGCTGGCCTTGAGCAGGTCCTGTACCCACGAAGGCGGCCGGAAACCCATGGGCGAAGGCAGAACGGGCTCTGCGATGGCCTGGCTTTCCTCGAGGAGGACGCCCGAACAGCCGGATCGTCGCATGACCACGTTGCCCGCCAAGGGAGCGGTGATCTGCAAGTTGATGACATCCTGGTCGGGGCAGTACCTGATCGTGTACGACATGCCACTCAAGCCGCACTTGGCAGCGTTCACGCTGATGTACTGCCCATGCTGGCTGTAGCCGGCATGATAGCACTGGCCGTGCTTTGGCCCAACAGCCTCAGTAATGCAGCATCCTACAATCCCACAACAACAGCTATACGAGACATGCACAGCAGCCATGCGCAGAACCGACCCATCCCAGCTGAGCTACCTTCATGTTCACATATCCGTGGTGGGCACCCTGCGTGACAACTCTGGCATACAGGGACTCGACCAGGAACGCGCCGGAGTAGCACACTCCACCCCTGGGGAAGGTTCCATAGCTGCTGCAGCCCCGCTCAGACTCGGAGACTGCGTGCTCCTCCAGGAGTGCTTGAAGCTGCGGCTTGGCCTCAGCACACGGAGTGCGGCTCAACACCACACTCACATCCATCGGCTTGAGCATGTGAACAACAATCTCGTCTTGGTTGGAGCAGTACTTGACGGTGTAGTCTGTGCCAGGAACAAGCCCACAGTCCGTGGTATCTTCCACCGTGATGTCTGATCCAGATTGCTGATACTGTGCACCATTGCAAGTGGTCGCCTTTGGCCCGACAGCCTGCATGAACGGCAAAAAGAAGCAAGCATAAGCTCGGCTTTGCAGGCAGATGCAGCATCATAATCCATTCCGCAGACAAGTGTCCTGAAGGTCAACGCTGCCGCTTGTTGCGGTCTGCTTTGAGAGCTTCACAAAGAACTTTTCCACAAGGAACGAACCCGTGTAGCAGAGGTCATCGGAAGATGGGAGCTCCCCGGCGCCACTGCATGCATCCTGGGATTCATCCTGGGATTCTGAAGTCAATGAGAGAAGAGAAGCTCCAGAAACGGCTGCTGTCGGTCCTCATCCAGAAGCGTGCTTTTCGAGTGGCGCATCTGCAGTGCCTCTTGGGGCAAGCGGCTCTCACATGCGCATTACGTGGTGTTTCGGTGCGCAGCAGGTTGCCTGAACAGAGCACGTCTTGTCGTCGGAACACTCATCCTGGCACGTGCAGACACGTGTTGGCACGAAAGATCCCGCTGCAAATGCCCTAACACTTTGAAGCAGCAACAGCAACGAGCAGCACTAGCCGGCAGCACGTCCCGTGTTAGTGCATGATCGTCCTGTCCCATTGCAAGCTACTCAGGTCATCACCGCCTGCCTTTCGGACCGTCCTCCGGAAGAGCAATTCCGGGGACGACGAGGAATGCCAAAAGCCTTACGTCGGTCCAGCCAGGGCTGGTGAGGCCAATGACGGGAACGGTGAGGCTTCGCCGAACAAGCGGCTGAGCTTCCAGCTTGAGGAACATTTTTAACGCTTGAAGCAGGAAAAGAGGCGCACGCGCACACCTCGTCTCCAGGGATCGATGGAATGAACAATGGCAACACCCCCTTGTCACCGATAAGGCGCCCAAGAATTTGGCACCCACCGAGATCCGGGCCGGTCCGCGATGGGTTTCAGCCTTGCGGCAACGGAAGCGCGAGAAGAGCTCGAGCCGGAAGTCCCACGGAGGACGGCGATGGAAAAACTCAGATGACACAAGTTATATAAATTTACAAATGCATGGACTATAAGACTAAAATCCGCCACCTGACCGAAAACACAGAAACGCGCAGACACCTCCACATCCGTCTGTCGCTGTGCCTCTCTGCTGCAGCATCGCTCCTTTTTCGCTGCTTGCGACAGCTCCAGCAGCCGCGACCTGTACGGTAGAATGCGTTTCGTATCGGAGCTCCGAACAGCATACAAGCAGACACGGGTAACAGCACCTGCGATGAGGATCCATTTGGTTCACAGCCTTGAGAACCGCAGACCTTGGTCTCACAAGACCGCGACTGCCACGTAGCAGGTAGCCTGACCTTTCTCGGTTGCCCAGAGTCTGGGTGCGTGACATGGGCGCCGAGCTCTTCGTGGAGAGGCCAAGGCTCGGCCAGTCGAAGTGGGAGGAACTCGGAGGTCCTGCAGTCGCCAAAGGGCCATGCGGGGCCTGCCGCATCCTGCCGCGCTCCTGCTGCCATGCGCTCCAGCAGCTGTATGCCTTCCCATAGGAAGCTGAAGCTGAGGGGGGGGGGGGGGGGGGGGCCAAGGCTCGAGGGAGCAGGCCCCGGGCCTTCGTCCGGCCGTGAGTTTTCGCGCCAGGCCTCGCGGAGCGGAGTCTCAGTCAGCCCTTTCTTTGATACCACAGAGCCAAAGTCAGGGCTTGCGTGCAGGGCTTGCGGTTCGACTGCTACGGCTGTGTTGCTGCATGGAACGGAGACGAATCGCTTTCACCTTCAGGGTCTCCACAATTGCTTCCTGACGAGTCTCCTGGAAAAGGGTTCACGCCGAGACCATAGGCCAAGACAGGGGACATCAGAGCAGCGAATCTCGGTCCGTGAGGATCTGGTCCATCTCCGCTCGGAGAGAGTTCATGGGAGTCTGGGCTTCGGGAATCTTTGGCTGGTCTGAGAGTTTGAGGCTGCTGGGTTCCTTGAAAGTCAGCTCCATGCGTGGCACAGTCAGAGGGCAGAGCCACGATCGGCTGAAGGATCAACTTCGATTCAAGAATCTGCGCTTGCGGCTTGGGTGAGCACGGCAAGACGAGCCGAAGCTTTTTCCGGATGAAAATCTAGATGGCATCTGTCGGCCTTTACGGCCACAGCATCAAAGCTAAGAAGTCTGCAAACCCAGACAAAAGCCCCCTCACCGAATCGAGATTCGAAGGTGAAACACCTGTAGTTTACACTTCGGGACCAGCAGCTCATCTGCTGGGATTAGTCAGGCCTGGGCCAACGAAGCCCGAACATGCACATCAAGTCACTACCGGAGCAGCTATGTACAGCTCCCAACCTCTCGAGAGGCAGGACGCTGTCCAGGATGCCACGCCAGAAGGGCTGGTCAAGGGTGTGAACATCGTTTGCAGGGATGCACCCCATATTCCCAAGTGTACAGCTGTCGAAACTGAACCAAGGCCACACCCAGTACTGCAACATGCCCCCCCACACGCCTCAATCTTCTTGTCGAAGACATGTTCCTCCGCCCGCTGCGTCAGGCAGACGATCTGGATCACCATCTGTCGCAGAAGACAGTCGTTTTTTCCCTTCTGCACGTAAGAACCTCTTCTCCGCACGGCCTGCTGCTGTTGCCACGGCGATGCTTGATAAATTTGCTGGAATTGCAGCAATGATTGGAGCTGCGCCAAGGTCTGCAGCTGCGGTGGCGCATTTGCGGCGGCTGCTGTTGGCGGCTGCTGGAGTTGCTGCAGAGGTGCTGTGTGCAGGCCCTGGGCCTGGAGACCTGACCAAGGAGAGCACGCCAGGGAAGAGAAAAAAACAAAACCACGACGAAGGATGGGGGGCGGGCCAAGCAGCGGACCAGGGCCCTGCCACCAGGAAGCTGCCAAGTCACGGGCCTCTGGAGCCCAGGCCTGCACCTCATCTTTGGCGTCGAGGAAACTCCTCAGCACTAACAAGCTCACGTCGGACTTGAATGAAATGGCGATCTTCGGCTTCAGCCTGCCGGTGCACAGAAGCCAAGGAGAGCCAAGGAGAGGACAGGACGCTCTCGATTTGGGACCAGGATCTGACATCCTGCATCGACGTCAGTGAGGATCTGTCTCGGACACCGTTCCAAACTGTCGGTCATACTCTCACCGTCTATGGTTTCACGATATTTCACGAGCCTTGGCATCGCCGTCATCGTCGATGATCAACTGGCAAGCGATGCCATCTCTTCTCTACTCGCGCCGGGAGGACCAGCAAGGAATGCTTCGCAGGGTGAAAGCAAGCTGCGAATCAACTCCCTGTGCTGCGAGCCCTGAGGCTCGAAGCTTGGTCTAGGGCAGTCTGGTGCAGTCTACTGTAGGGTTCCACATGCTTCCGAGGCTTCCCGTGCAGACCTTGAGCGGGTTCCAGCAGTAGATGCCACGACAAATCAGCAACGCCATGACCTGCCGGAAGCGAAGACGTCTAGGCTCAACAGGCCGACAAACAACATCACCGCCTTCTTGGCATCCACCTTCCTCTCGCAGGCCAGCCTGCGAGTCGAAGTGCATGTGACAAATCTGTGGCTTTGTGCAGTCTCTGCGGCGTTTCCTTGCCAGCTCCTTTGCACGCTCGGTGGCAGAGCTCGCCTGGCATAGACGGCTTTGTGCTTCTGGTTCAGGCTCCATGCAACCTCTCTGCCCAGAGCCTTGGGGCGATCCGCGCGGCCTTCGGTGCCGCCAGCGCCGCTCTCGTCCGCAGCCTCGGCCTCCCCTGGCCACGAAATGCAAGCTGCGCTTGCACGCAGTGTCGAGAAGGACGCGAAGCATTTACAATGATTGCAGCGGCCTGGAGTAGTCAGCACCATCCTCGGCTCGTCGCGGATTGGAGCGCTGCACGAAGCACTCTGGGACCCTACAGTATGGGAGTGCGAAGAGCGCAGCAGGTTGCCGAGCGACCCAGAACTCTGTGCGGCGTCGCAGGGTTCCAGGCCCTCGCTGGAGGCCTCGGCTCCCGTGGAGGCCCGGAGTCTGAGGGTTCAAAAGTGCGAGTCCTCTAAGCTTGCAGCCTCAGAAGCTTGGCTTGATGCCACTGCTGGAGCCTGCCCCATGAAGAGTGAACACCCTTCGTAAGCCACTGCAAACAGCCTCCACAGGAACCGAAGGCCAAGAACTGGGAGTGTTGAACATGGTGTTGGCCATGGAGTGGTACCTACGGCTTCTCGTTGGGTGAGGGCGCCAAACATCAGGCCGAGCGGCGCTGAGCCGCGCACAGTCTGCACGTCTGCTCCACCACTCTGTAGACCTCCGGTCACGGAGCAGTATGGCTTGGGGTTTCAGGGCACACTGACCACCGAGGCGCGCCGAACCGCTCGAGCCTTCGATCCAACCTCGAAGCTACCGAGAGAGATCAGGAACTGAAGGTAGTCCTGGTCCTCAAAAAGGGGCCACTGTTTCTCTGCAATTCCTCTCCCACTCTTCGGGCCTTCGAGGCGAGGATGCACGCCGCATGCTCCTGTGGGCCAACGTGGCAGGCCCGGAGCTCGGGGAGTTCGGGGAGGGCCGTGAGGCCTCCATGAAGCGTTCCCATGGGAAGTCGAGAGCCGAGAGCTCCCGCAGAAGCACGAAGTGAGGGTGCGGCCTCGTTTTGCGAGCTCGGCTCGGGGGTGCCAACAAAGGCCGCTCTCTCTTCGAGGTCGCGACATGGTCATGAACTGCAGAACCGCCGAGGAGACCTGAAAGTGTCGAACTGCACCGGATGGACGCATGGACCCACCGTGGCGCCCCCACCTCCTGGAAGCGACGATCAAAGAAATCTTGGAAGTCGAAGTCCAGCTGAGCGAGCTTGTGCAGATCAAACCTCGCCAGGCCAGAAACAAAGAGACGCTGCAGCTGGCCCGAGAGGCTTCATGGCTTCATGCGAGGTGCCAGTATCCGTCTTGCAGGATCTTCAGAACCGCGGCGTCTGTCTCCTCCTTCCCGTTTGACCGTCTTGTCCGCTTGTGGGAGAGAGGGTGGGCAAGTGAAACTACCCAAGCGTGAGTCCGCGCTTGTTGCCTGCATCCGCAGGAAGAACGACTTGAAGCGGAACTCGGAAACCTGAGCAAGGAAGGAGCCCTGGCTTTTTTTCGCCAAGCCGAAACGGACTCTCACATTGCCTCGAGGCATCGCTAACTCTTATCCCTGCAGAGCCTGCCTCGGAACGCAACATGACCAGCTCTGTCCATGCCTGCGAAGCGACGGCCCCAACACCAAGATACGCCGAGATGCTCCAAGCACGAGTCGAAAAGCCTGGCCTTTGTTGCGAACCAAGCTTTGTGGAGAACCGCATCCAGTTGCGCCTGTTCCGTGCGACCACCAACTCACTGGGGTGCTTCTTTGCTGGTGCTCTGCACAGCTTTTTTTCCCGAGCAGGAGTGCTGATGCAAGCGCGGAGTCTTGGAGGATCGGAGCCATCGGAGCTCCGCTCCTCTGCGCACCCTCTCCAGTCCTGGGAAAGCTTCCGGAAGCCCCCACGGTTCGGAAGTCCAGCTTCCGCTCCTGCCATGGCAAAGCACCACGTCGACAGGACTTTTAGCGGTTGCTACGGGCCGTGGCCTGCAAATCCAATCTGCCCCCAGGGCTGCACTGGGCGGCAATCTCCTGCATCATCTCAAAGCGATGGGACCCACAAACCTCCACGCCTGGCGTCCCTGTGCCTCGAAGGTGGAGACCGCCTGAGCTGCCTCCGAAACAGACAAATCCTGCACTAAGACGCACAGCTCGGATAAGCGCCGCTGCCTGCAGTCTTTGGCAGTCCAGCACATCCTCTCGCAGCAGGGCCGTCAGCGCCTCGTGAGACGCAGCCTTCAGCTCGCACGTTCTCCCGGCCCGGCCCGGCCTCGATGGAGTCGGCGATTCTTCCTCGCGGGCTTTTGTTGGGGCCCAAGGCCGCGCCCTGCCGCTGCCTGCACGGACGGCGCTGGGCGGACCGCGTGCTGCGGACGGCGCTGCTTTCCGCGGCCTGGCCTCAGCTGCTGCGCCAGCTCTGCCGCCTCGTTGCCGAAGTCCTCCAAAGCGGACAGCCTGGCCTACAGCCTGCAAATGACTGCAAATGCCTGCAACGCAACGCAGCGTGCGCCGTCCTCCACCTGGTCAAGGGACTGCAGCTGCCGGTCCAAAGCGCCACGATGCCGTTCGAGCTTGCTCAGCTCCTCCTTTTCGAATTCGACAGAGACTCTCGAGACCATGTCAACTTGTGGACTCGCGATTGAAACATCTTGTCTGGACACATGAGTGAGGCCGTCCTGCATTGCAAGCCAGGGTCATGCCCAGCAGCGATGACTATTTGAGCCAAGCTCTGGCAGGCGAATGGCTGCACACTTGGATTAGGACCAAGGTTTTCGGATCAGCGCCGCTCACATCTAAGACTGCACCAACAGCCGCGCGAAAATCACGTGCCGAGCCTGGTGCTTCTCAAAAAACTGAGCGAGTGGAAGGTGAAGCGATGTTAGGTCAATGACCAGGGCTATCTGCCTTGGGTCGAAGTGGCGAGATGTGCAGCGAAACCTGGACACTCTCGGGTCAAGCACCGTCGGCAGAAGGCATCCATCAGCAACTCCTCCGCAAATACCACCAATGCGACTCCAGCACTACAAGTGAAGCGGCAAAGCAGCCTCCATGGATTGGTAGTGCTGCCGAAAATAATGGCCGAATGCTTGTGGATGGACCTCATCAAGTCGCAAGAATCTGAAGGCCTGGGAAGGGCAGAACGAGCCTCCACAATGCAGCGCATCTGTACAAACGCTTTGCGCCCCATGAGGTCATCGGCGAACTCCAAAAACCTGGCACACGACAGATGCACGGCGCCTAGCAGCGATGGGAGGTGAGCTCAGCACTGAGGGCTCCGAAAATGAAGGTCCAACACCCGCCTGCGAAGCAAAGACTCGAAGACACTCGACATACATGTTCGAAACACTCTATCCACTGCAAGCCTGTCGATGCTGGCAAACCTTCGTATTGCCAGTTGCGGTCTCTTGGCCTCACCTTGCCATACTTTCTCTGCCTCTCTCTGTGACTCTGCGACCGGCTACTTTTTGTTGCGATGTGGGGGCTTCCGAAAATAGGGGACCCTAATATAGTACCCTAAATAGTAGGATCCTTATTATAAGGACCCCCAATTTTCGGAAACCCCCAATGTGCTTGGCCAGGAGCCGGAGTCGCCCTCCGTTTGAAGGTCCTCAGCCTCGATGAATCCAGGGCTCCCTACGCGTCGTTCACATTGGGAAAACTCCCCGGTTGCCAAGCCGAACACGGAGTCGCCGATCAAGTCCTTCCAAGATCAGCTGGAAAGTCCAACACCCACCATGCCTGTTGAAACCCGTGAACCTTCATAGGTCATTCCGCAGGCTTTCGGTCACCTAGTCGGTGTCCTCCAGACCTCTTTGCAGCAGCGCGCTGAGCTCCGCCTGACGACATCTGACGACTACAGGTTGCCGTACCGGCGCCACTGGCACTGCAAGGAGGACACCTGCTGGCGCTCGGCAAACGCCAGAAGGTCGAAACCCAGCTTGGAAATCCGCTCGACGGAGAGGAAGTCCTGCAGAGACATCCGTTGCAAGCATTTTACCAACGCCGAGAAAGCTGCTCCGAGTGCTGCACCTGCTTTAGAACGCGGTCGAGGACAGAAGAATCGAATTGCTCCTGTTCCTTCCAGGAGACTCGGAGGCTCTCAGCTTGCTTCATGCTGGCGTTCTTTTCTGCGCCCCGGTGGTTTTTGGATTGTCGGACGTTCGGCCATCAACGCAACTGAACGAGCAATGTGGGCAAGCGCACCGGGCACTGCAGCCAGTGCCATCCCGACTAGCGCGACCCGTGCACTTCTGTTCCACGGCTCCGGACTAATCACAAGAGCTGCATAGCCGGGCTTTCGATGAACTACCGCACAAGTTGCTCCATGCTGCTCATTTGGAGCCGTGTCCAAGCACCGATCTTAGCGGAGGCCCGTGCATCGTCATCTGCCCGCGCGACGTGCTCTCGGACTCACGAGACTTAGCGCCCCTTCTAATTACCTGCTGCACCACTGCAGCGAATCTGATCGAAACAAGACAGAACTCCGCCGGCTTGTGAGCTTTTCTGTGGCCTCGAGCTTCAGTTTGAAGCCGCAGAAACAGAGCAAGTCCAGCACCTCCGTGACTCCGTGATCCCTCTTTCGAATCTGACTTGCAACCAGTAATGACATGCTCAACCGAGGCAAAGACCCCTGGGCGCTGCGGCATCGCCTGCATCACACTCATTTGTTCATGTTCACTCTCTGCTGACGTGCGATGTAAAGTCTTTATCAACCACCTACAGTTTACAGATAACGGCTCATCCAGACAACCTGCTTAGATACGCCACAAGCAAGAATGAGGACGCCGATGCGCCTGCCGCAACATCTGTAGCAAGTATGGCTCGTACTGTCGAAGCACTGCCTCAAGGGTGATAGCCTGGGTCAAGGTGTTTCCAAAGCAAGTTCGCAGAGCCTTGCCTTTGCCACAGGCCTCTTGAACCAGCAGGTACACGAAGTTGAAGGACTCGGCTGCCAGCGCTAGCAGCAACAGGTACCTGCGGTGAAAGCTGGCCGTCTCTCAACTGAAAGTTGGAAGCTGCTCTGGCATTACCGTATATGAGGTCCCGGTTTGATATGCCGATGTGATCTGGGCACCCACAGCTTTCCACTCGAAGAAAGGAGCTCATGCTGGCTCCCGCTTTGATGAAGGCGCAAAGAATGAAAGGAACCTAGCGAACACCGGCTCTCAATGGCTTTCTGGGAGCTGTCTGCTCAGCCAATCGAATCTTCAGTTCAGGAGCTTTGTAAAGGGTCTCCCGCTGCTTGCACAGGTCGGTCATCTGAACTTCCGCGTACGCGCTCGTGGCCAAATCCTGCAATGCAACGCTGTCACTGTCTCGTCCGTCCAACCCTAAACCCTAAACCCTAAACCCTAAACCCTAAACCCTAAGCCCCGTCCATGAGCGGGAAGCGGAAGGACGCACGGGACCCGAGAAAATCCACCGTGATCGACCTGGGCTTTCGGAAAGCTTCCGCCAAAGCAAAGGACTCTTTCTGCGTGCTTAGTAGATGAGTAATATGAGTTATGAATATTATTGCTACTATTGTTATTGGTATGATTGTTGCTAGTATTATTGATATCATTACTACTATTAGTATTGATATTCATATTAAGATTATTATTACTATTATTGTTACTATATATCAAATATTGCAGTCTATAAACTTAACTAAATTAATATCACCTGTTAGCCTCGAGTCAAGACGCCCCTCGCTCAAGAGCTGCCCCAGATCTCCACGGGCCCGGCACTCCTCGACGTCCTGCAAACCGTGGATCGTGGGCCATCGGGGAAATTCGGGGAACAGGGTGCGATGCAGGGCATCTCTGTGTCCTCCGAAATATCATACTTGAGGACGCGCAGAAGCGACAGCCTCTCGATGTGCGCAGTTCGCAACGCCTGGCGCAGAGCCAGTGTTACAAAGAGGACTTCACGAGCAAACGAAGACAAGCGGCAGCCTCTTGCACGAAAACTTTCAGGCGAGAGTCTCCTCGCGAGCTACCAAAACCGTAATTCCTGACGGCCAGGTCGCATGTTTATGTGCTTTGTCAAGGTCCGCTGACCCCCGACATGGGAACCTCTGCGCCAAAAGCCGCAGGCCCTCAAAGTCCGTGTGAAGCACAGCCTGACACAACCGTTGATAGGGACATCGCACAAAGTCAAGACGGCGCAAAAAGCCGGTAGGCCTCCGTGAAGACCCGGTCAAGATTGTATTGGAAACCGCTGCGATTCGAGTCTAAAAAGTCGCGGACGATGCCTTGGACACATCATGTGCAAGCACCCTGCAAGTGAAGGCTCTGCCAGTGCAGATGAGCAACTCCACTCCCTCTCAAGCAGTGCGAGCAGCGGAACAACCTGGCTTGAAACTTGAAATGATCTCATGAACCGCCCGAGCAATATGGTAATCCAGGCGGCCTTGTCGTTCAACACTCTGACGAACATCTTTCGTAATTTCCATAATTTTCGCACTTCGGCGAGGGAAAGACACCTGAGATGCGCTTTCTCTGCATGGCTTGGACGAAAACCGACATCAGGACCTAAAACTAGGCAGCACAACTGCCGGACCATGCCAAGAATGATGCGAGAACATGCGAAACATGGTGTCTATCCAAACTATCAAGTCAAGCTGCATAAGAAGCGTGTAAACCAAGCCTTCATCCTTCAAAACACGGGCTCCTTGCCAAGAGCTGTTTCAACGATTGCACTACCATTCTACAAGAACCGCCAGACTCTTTGCCAAAATGCCCACGAGCCTGGAGCTTCGTGCAGTAAAACATTTCCTTCCATCCTTGCCAGCATTAGTCACTAGACGTGAACAAGCTCTCATCTTTTCTTTTGCCATCATACATAACATACTTTGCACCTTCGCTTGCTCGTCATTTTTGCAACAGCCTCAATCCACACTTTCGGTCGAAAAAACCGAATATGACTCATAATATGACGCTGATTTCGGCCGCTGGCTTCAAGGCTGTTGCCGTCGACCAAAGAGCATGGCTGCGACACATCGAGAGTGCGGGTGTAATGTGGTTGTGATCAATCTCAATCATGCACCTTCCGTTGGCATGTAAAGCACACAAGCCTCTGTGCTGAACGTTGCAAGTCGACAAGGTTTTAGTTCGTTAATTCTCCATACTGCGGATCAGCGATCACTTTGGTCCAACCCAGACATCACAATCGACAAAGCGAGCACGCAGAGTCTCATGTGTATGTGTGTATGTGTGTATGTATATATATATATATATATGCGTTCAACATGTATGTATCGGCAATGATTCTGTTTCCACAGATGCCTGTCACTTGCCACAACTACAACCTGATTTCTCGCGACTTTTCTTCTCACCATCTCGCTCTCCCGTGTGGCCAGCGGACTCCAGCGGAAGGCAGGGCCTGCACAAAAGTTACGCTTGTGATGCCAGTTGTGATCTGTGATTGCCGAATTGCAATGATCGTCCTCATCGATCTCAGTCTTGAAACGCTCTTTCCAATTTGGCTAGATGAGTCTTGACTTATCCCTGCTGATGTAGCGACTTCACCAGCAGCCAGAACAAGAAGCACATGACGACAATAAACTTCAAACACATGCACACACAAGAATGACACCACGACTTCAACAACGACCACCACGACAACGACCACGACCGCGACGACGCTGAATCACGCCTTGGATATACTCTAAACCATGGCTTTGACAATGTACAGTGCTTTGTTGCAGAGCAAACGACGTAAGAATGTAAGCTCTGCAGACGCGATCTTTTCAAAGATGTCATCATGGGGTGATGCAAGACCGATGATCATCATCAGAAACTACGAGGTGTTCTGACGACTGTTGTCGGCGCCGGAAGCAACAGTGTGGAAGTGATCCTTCGTAAGCACAGTCGACGACCAGGCTCCCAGGACACGAAATTTAATTTCACGTCGTGAAACAAAACTGCACGTGGATGTGTTCAACTGTCTTTGCGGAGACGAAGACTACAACATTTGCCTAAGAAATCCGGGAGGAGGAAAGGCCAGTCAAAAAACCAAACGTGCATCTGCCTGAGGTTTGTTAGTTCGCTAGCAGGTACAGACGTTGCACGCCGTGCCTCGCCGAACTCGCCGAACTAAGGCGCTTCCTGCCATTGAAGTGGCTGAGCTGCGGAAGGCGGGTGCTCTACTTGGAGGTTGGCTGCACTGAGTTCTACCATCACAACTACCTCTACCTACTAATGGCACTAGTGGTACTACGGTGCTGCTGGCACTGATGCGTTCCACTGCTGGCTGTCGATTTACAGAAATCCGGGCTCCTGTGTCGCACCTGCAGGCAAAGCAGCTCTCTCTCCAACAGCGGATATTGGGGTTGGGATTTCAGGCATCGTGGGGCTTGGAGGTGGTGCACGGCTTTCTGGCTTGGCGTCAAACCCCTGGGCAAGAAACCCTACGAATCCAAACAATAAGGATCGACAGAGCCCCGCTACAAACCACCGCATAACACGCCGTGAGGCCCTACGAAGCTCCAAGAAGCCCAAGTCAAGCGCTCTAAAAGTCCTATCAGCCCTATCAAAACGAGCCCAAAAAAAAGCCTTATAGAACCTACACCCGATTCAACGAAACGGGGAAAGGAACCCTAAAAGCCTTGACCCCAAACCCCTCAACCCCCTCAAACTTTATGAACCCCCTTAAACCTTATGAACCCTTTGAAACCCCCTAAACCCTAAACCCCTCAAAGGGCCCTGAAAGGTTCCGTGCAGGCCGGGGCTCCTCCGGGGCCATGAGCCATGCCAGGCTCGGGTTGCCACGCCGTCGGTTTGGGGTTTCGGGTTTGGGGCTTAGGGTTTAGGGCTTAGGGTTCAGGGTTTAGGGTGGTGTAGGGTTTCTGATGGTTCTTAGGGGGTTTTGGGCTTTGGGGCTTAGGATTTTGGGGGTTCAAAATCTTTGTTTTACAGCCCAATCCGGGTTTAAGGTTTTGGTTTAGGATTTAAAGTTTGGAGTTGCGGGGCTTTAGGGTTTGTGGTGCTTTGCTTTGGGGTATAAGGGTCTCTATGGTTTAGTCTATTACGGTTTGGGATTTTGGGATTTTGGGGCTTTTGGGTGTTGGGGTTACGGGCTCAGGGCCGGTTTTGTATAGTTTAGGGTCGAGGGTTTAGGGCTTCGGGCTTCGGGCTCCAGAGTTTTGGAGTCTAGGGTTCAGGCGTACTTGTGTGTAAACATACCCTTGCATTCATAACATATGTATGCTTGGGGATTTGTCTGTGTGTGTGAAGGGACGGAGGCTGCATCCTCATATGTACGTCTGTATGTATGCATGTATGCACGCCTGCTTACTGGCTTTCGCCTTGCATGGGCACGTGTCTTTGCAAGGATTTTAACCTACGCCTCTCTAGTAGCTGCTTCGAGCCAGCAATCCCAGCGAAAGCATGTACTTTGCCTTTGGCTTCTGATTTCTAGCAATATAGGACACAACCCTGGCGACCTCTCAGACCTTGGAGACAGCGCCCTGCCGTGCTTAAAACAAAAACAAAAAACGGTCACATGGACAGTGAGCTGTCAAGTCTAAGTCAATTTGGGCTTCTCAGAAGCACCATGTCACTGCTCAGCTCCAAGCGGCACTCTTTTCATCTCTCGATATGGGTAGTTCTATAAATTAGGATCCCTTTTCTGGGTCCCTTCTGTAAGGGTGACGTACTATATTGGGGACCTCAAAAGCAACCCTAATTTAAAAAACTACCCATATGCAGATTTGCAGATCCGAGGGTCGGCATGCGGAGCGGGGGCCCTGCATGCTGCTCTTCCGGCGAAGAGCTCCCTGCAACGGCGGAACCACCTACTGCACCACTATGCTTTCCGGATGTGATCTAGTGAGGAGCGGTGCAAGGCTTAGCACGAGAGCCTGGTAGAGGCTTACGGAAGAGGCGAGGGCAGGCTTCGGATTAGGGCACGGAGGGGAACCTGACACGTCGAGACTAGAGTGACCAGCACACAAGCGTTCAGGGCCTCCGGCACCCGTCACGGGTCGAAAGATTAGCGGCGCTAGCCCTGTCGGCAGGACTGGCATCCAAAAACGGACTTGCGAGCCACAGAGCCTTAACAGGCAGCAGAATTATCCCAAACAAAAGAAAAACCAGTGCCAAGGCGTGCTTCCGCACGGGGCACGGGCCTCCAGGGCAGGCGTGCTTCCGCACGGGGCCTCCGGGGCACAGCCTTATCTGCAGAAGGCCAAAAAAAGCAACGCCGCTTGAAAATGCTTGAAATAGGCGCCTGGGCATTCAGGGTACCTGTTGCAGGCTCAACAATGGGCGCAAGCACAACAGCATCACCTGAACCTTCAAACAGCCTCCCTAGATGAGGCTTCCCGGCAGCCGCTCGCGATGGCGAAGAGTGAGGGTCGGCCCTCAAGCAGAAATGCACCGGCTCAGGAAGAGGACGAAGGTTCCCGTCGGCGGGACACACACGCCCGTTCCCCTTCACTTCTCCTTCTCCTTCCCTTTGTCCTTGTCGCACCTTTGCCCCCTTTGGGCTCGTCGTCGGATCGGAGCTCGGGCTCAGAGCTTTAGGGGGGACTCATTGATCCATGCACTGGACCCTGCCAACACAGCGCAACTCGAAAGTTCTCCTGTGGCAGGGCGCCTCCTCCTGCGCCTCCTCTTCCGGCGCCGGCGCGAGGGGAGTATCCCTGAAAGCTCCAGGAGCCGAAGTGAAGCAATGGAAGCTCTCAAACCCTTACGGGAGCCTCTGAGCCCACGTAGATGAAACCTAAACCCTCCGCTGCCGGACTGCCACAGGGTGCACCGCAGATCGCCTCAGGGAACCGTTAGGGACCCCCGAAGCCGAAAGCGCTCCGCTTCAGAAGCCGACGTCTGCAACCTAGGGACTTCTAAGAGTCTTAGAGCAGGGTCGTCGAGTGCTCGAGGGCTTAGAGGAACTCCACAAGCGTGGCTCAAGATGCTGAAGAAGTAGGGCTTGCAGGACTGCCGATGCCAACTCGGAGCATAGCAGCATAAGCCTTGAGGCCGAAGCCTGCTTGGGTGACTTAGGATAGGTGGCGGAGTGGCATCCGGAGCACGCAAGAGAGAAGTCAGCCCAGGCGTCAGCTTCGCGGCTTCAGGCAAGCACCGAAGCCAAATCTCCCAGCAGCCAAAGGCCTGAATCCTGACTGTTAATTAGTGTTCCAAAAAGCATTTGGAGCACTTTATCGAATACTTTTTCAGCAGCAGGTCATTGGCGGAACACTTGTTGAGAACACTTTTTAGATTGCTTTTTGGAATGCCTTTTGGGAGGCCCGTCCTCTCCAGATCCAGGTAAAAAGCATTCCTAAAAACAGAGGGTCCCCGTGGAATACTTCTGGAGCACAGTTTGGAATATTTTTCAACTCTAAGTCAAAACCGGAACGCTTTTTCCCGCGCTTTTCAGGAATGCTTTCGGAGTGCTTTTCGGAACCCTAAACAATCCGATCCACCCCAGGGACTTCTAAGAGTCTTAGAGCAGCAGCTACAATTTTCACTCCCCCACCGATACGAATGTGTCAAGTGTAGCATCCCACATCTGGGTCCACGTTTGCCAGCTACCTCGTGCAGGGCAAGACACGCATACCCCTGCTTATTTCCGCTGGACACGGACACTGGCAATTGTAGGAAAACATGGCCTACAATTATGTGCCCCCCCCGCCACTCCTACATTTATTAAGTGCAGGGGGTAGCAGCATAAGCCTTAAGGCCGGAGCCTGCTTTAGGATAGGTGGCGGAGTGGCATCCGGAGCGTCAGCTCCTTCGCGGCTTCAGGCAAGCACCGTCCTTAACTCGCACCTTTGGAGGTGTGGCAGTGCAGGTTGGGTTTAGAGCCCTGGTTTTCGTGATGAACAGAGCTTCACGAGGCGGGTCTCTAGGAAAAGTCTTTTGCGGCCTGAA